CCCCCCCCCCCCCCGCTGGAGGAACGACAAGCCCAGGATCGGAGGCTTGCCCCGGACAAGTATTACTGTGTTTGTATCCGTGTGTCTCTTGTCAGACCTGTAATAACATTTTGTGTTTAATCAGAAAGTTCCATGCCGGCTGATCTGTAGTGGCTTCAAGTGGCAGGTAGATGTACCTTAACGCGGCAGTCACGGGGATTCTGGAGGATGCTCCACAGTCCCAGGGAAGCAGTAACTTCCCTCCTGAGAGGGGAAATTCTTTAGAGAAACCCGCATCTGGAAATTCTGTTAGTAGTGTGTGGCGCTCATGGCAGGGGCGCATAGGTCTGTTACTTTTGTCTTTTTTGTATGTCTGTGGACTTGGACTGATGCTCATTTTTGGCACCAGGGGTCAGACAGTATCAACTCCCTTAGACTTGACTGAAAGATACTGGGGAGACGTAAAGAGTAGAGCACATAATCTTTCTGTTCTTGTTAAGAAAGATAAATGGTACACTCTGGCATCGGCCGAATGGTCGGATTTTCAGGTTGGCTGGCCTCCCAGGGGATCTTTCTCTCTTCCCCTTATACAGGCAGTCAAGAAGAAAGTTTTCAGTACCGGATTCCTCACACACCAGGACCAGATTCCTTACATTCTTGTCTGGGAAGACTTAGTCACAGAACCCCCCTCTTGGGTCCAGCCCTTCTTACCCCACCCATCCTCATAGGTTTTTGCACTCCGTGGTGATCCGAAAGAACCTAAAAAAGTTCTGTCTTCACCCCCTGATGCAGACCTTCCCCTCCTCGATTCTCCCCCTCCATACCCTCCTGCCGCTCCCCTCCAGCCTACCCCCACCCCTGGTCCCTATTCCTCCCCTACCTCCCCCTCCAGTTCCTCCCATTCCCATCATTCCCCCACCCCCTCCGACCCCCCAGGCCGATGGAGGGCAGAACATTGGCCCAGCCAGAGGAACGAGGAGCCGCAGGGCCCCCTCACCAGGGGCCACTGTGGCACTCCCCTTTGAGCCCTCAGCCCCCCCTCTGAGGATGGCCAACAACTCCTACAGTATTGGCCCTTCTCCTCCTCAGACCTCTACAACTGGAAGACCCAAAATCCCCCTTTTTCAGAAAATCCCAAAGGGTTGACTAATCTGATTGAATCTTTACTTTTCACCCATCAGCCCACTTGGGATGACTGCAACCAGTTGTTACAGGTCCTGTTTACAACAGAGGAAAAAGACCAGATCCTCCCAGAGGCCCGGAAAAATGTACCGGGAGCCGATGGGCGACCCACTCAGAACCCAGCCATTATTGATGAAGGGTTCCCTCTGACCAGACCCGATTGGGACTTCAACATCCCAGAAGGTAAGGAGCACCTGAAAGTCTTCCTCCAGGCTCTGATGGCAGGTCTCCGGGGAGCGGCGAGGCACCCCACCAATTTGGCTAAGGTAAGGGGAGTCCTTCAAGGACCCGACGAATCCCCCTCAGCATTTTTAGAAAGACTCATGGAGGCTTTTCAGCAATACACTCCGTATGATCCAGTCAGTGAAGAACATAAGGCCACAGTTACTGTAGCCTTTATAGATCAGTCTCATAAAGATATCAGAAGGAAATTGCAGAAGCTTGAAGGAATGCAGGACGAAACCCTACGAGACTTAGCACAGGTGGCAGAGAAAGTGTATCATAATAGAGAGACGGAGGAAGAAAAAGAGTAGGAAGCTGCGAGAGACTGAGGAAAGGGAGCTGAGGAAAGAAAAATGACAAGAGCGCAACCTCCATAAAATCCTCACCACTGTTGTGAGAGAGACCAGAGAACCTAAGCCAGGGCCAGGCGGCAGGAGACAACAGCTCAACAAAGATCAATGCACGTACTGTAAAGAGAAGGGGCATTGGGCCAGGGAATGCCCAAACAAGAAAAAGAAACCTCAGCAGTGGGAAAAACCCGTTGCCCACCCCAAAATTCTGACAATGCATGAAGACAGTGATTAGGGGGTACGGGGTTCGGAACCCCTCCCCGAACCTAGGGTAACCTTAACTGTGGAGGGGAAACCTACTCAATTCCTAGTGGACACTGGGGCACAGCATTCAGTATTGCAACAGGCTGACGGACTGCTCTCCAATCGGAAATCATGGGTTCAGGGAGCCACGGGAAATAAATTATATTCTTGGACCACTGCATGGACGGTAGACCTGGGAACAGGATTAGTGTCTCATTCTTTCCTCGTAATCCCAGATTGCCCATATCCTTTATTAGGAAGAGACTTGCTCACAAAAATGAAAGCCCAGATACATTTCCTGCCAGAGGGACCGCAGCTTAAAAGACTGTGATGTTAGAAGATGAATATAGACTCTTTGAATTCGAAAAAGAAAACCCAGGCTCAGGAGACCTCAGCCTGTGGCTAAGAAAGTTCCCTCAGGCATGGGCAGAGACGGCGGGAATCGGGAAGGCCAAACATAGGCCTCCTGTCTATGTTGAACTAAAACCACAAGCCACCCCCATAGCAGTTTGCCAGTACCCTTTGCCGAGGGAAGCCAGAGAAGGAATCCGGCCCCACATCGCCCGATTCCTCTGGTTGGGGATATTGCACAGATGTCAATCTGTTTGGAATACCCCACTCCTCCCTGTCAGGAAGCCAGGCACAAGTGAATACCGTCCAGTCCAGGATCTGCGAGAAGTTAACAAGCAGGTAATAGACATTCATCCCACAGTTCCTAACCCTTACGATCTTTTAAGTTCCTTGCCACCTCTCCAAGGCTGGTATACCGTTTTAGATTTAAAGGATGCCTTCTTCTGCCTCCAACTTGCGCCGAAAAGTCAAGAACTTTTCGCCTTTGAATGGAGAGACCCAGACAGAGGAGTGGCAGGGCAACTCACATGGACTCAGCTCCCGCAAGGATTCAAAAACTACCCCATCCTCTTCGATGAAGCTCTCAACCAAGACCTGGCGCTATACCGAGAAGCTAATCCCCAGGTAACCTTGCTGCAATATGTTGATGATCTTCTACTTGCAGCTGAAATGAAAGAAGATTGCCTGAAAGGGACGGAGAGACTTCTGGTAGAATTAGGAACTCTAGGATATTGGGCATCAGCCAAGAAAGCACAAATCTGCAAATGACAGGTAAGCTACCTGGGCTATGTGTTACGAGAAGAGGTGGCTGTCAGACACGACGAAAGAGACTGTTCTCCATATCCTTTTGCCTAAGACTCCTAAGCAAGTCAGAGAATTCCTAGGGACGGCAGGATTTTGCAGGCTCTGGATCCCTGGATTCGCAGAGATGGCGGCCCCCCTTTATCCTCTCACCAAAGATGGACTGTTCTCATGGGGAGAGAAAGAACAGAAGGCTTTTGACGCCATTAAGCTAGCATTGATGTCTGCCCCAGCTCTGGGGCTCCTTGATGTGACAAAACCTTTCCACCTGTTTGTGGCAGAGAATGGGGATAGCCAAAGGGGTGCTGACTCAGAAGCTCGGACCGTGGAAACGGCCCGTAGCATACCTATCAAACTAGATCCAGTGGCTGCCGGCTGGCCTGCATGCTTACAAATAATTGCCACAGCAGCAGTACTAGTCAAAGATGTGGACAAATTTGACTCTAGGGCAAAATCTAACAGTGACCGCTCCGCACACGCTAGAAAGCATAATCCGGCAGCCCCTGCTTCGGTGGCTTACAAATGTTCGGATAACTCACTACCAAGCCCTGTTACTCAACTCTGACCGGGTGACATTCTCTCCGCCGACCAGTCTCAATCCGGCTACCTTGTTGCCGGACCCTGATCTTAAACCTCCAGTACATGACTGTCAGCAAGTACTAGCCGAAGCCCATGGGCAGCATAAAGACTTGACTGACCTGCCTTTACTGGACGCTGAAGCCACCTGGTTCACAGATGGAAGCAGCTACCTAGACCAAGAAAAGCGTAAGGCAGGAGCGGCAGTAGTGGATGGAGAAAAAAATAGTGTGGGCCCAGCCCCTCCCCAAGGGAACCTCGGTGCAGAAGGCTGAGCTCATTGCTCTTACGAGAGGGCTAGAACTGGGGGCCAGGAAGAAAATTAACATCTATACAGATAGTAGGTACGCCTTTGTGACGGCACATGTGCATGGAGCCATTTACCAACAAAGAGGACTCCTCACCTCCAAAGGAAGAGAAATAAAAAACAAACCAGAAATCACGGCCCTTTTAGAAGCTCTGCACAAACCAGCCAAAGTAAGTATAATCCATTGCCCCGTCACCAACACGGGAAGTCCCACATCGCCATAGGCAATAATATGGCTGATCAGGCTGCCCAAGAAGCGGCCTCAAAGACAGTAGACATCTTCCTCTCTGAAACCCCGCCTGAGCCAAGCCTGCCACCCTATCAGTATAGCCCAGAAGATCTAGAATTAATCTCCAAAGACCGTACTCACTATTTTAATGAACAGAAGAGAGCCTGGTGTACCCAAGATGAAAAAATCATCCTACCCCAAGCAACTGCCAAAACCATAATCAAACAGATGCATCAATGGACACACTTAGGAGCGCACAAACTTATTCAGACTGTCTTAAACTCCGGGTGGTATGTGCCAAACCTGCAGCAGGTAGCTGAATCAGTAGTTAAGCCATGCGTTCCTTGTCAAGAAACAAACTCACCCGGGAAGAAAAATTGGACTAGAAAACGGGCAAGGGGGAACCGGCCTGGACAGTTTTGGGAAATAGACTTCACTGAAATTAAACCAGGAAAATAAGTATCTTCTAGTATTTGTAGATAACTTTTCAGGATGGGTTGAAGCCTTTCCAACAAGGCAGGAAATGGCTGCAGTAGTAACAAAGAAAATACTAGAAGAAATATTTCCTCGATTCGGGATACCTAAGGTAATAGGATCTGACAACAGACCCGCTTTCATTGCCTGGGTAAGTCAGGGGGTCGCTAAGTATTTGGGAACTGATTGGAAATTACATTGCATGTATAGACCCCAGAGTTCAGGGCAAGTAGAAAGAATGAATCAAACCCTAAAAGAGACCTTAACTAAATTGACCATAGAGACTGGCTCAGACTGGGTGGTGCTCCTCCCTCATGGCTCAGACTGGGTGGTGCTCCTCCCCTTAGCCTTGTTCCGAGCTCGGAACACCCCTACCTGTCTCAATCTAACGCCCTTTGAAATCTTGTACGGCTCCCCCGCCCCGCTTACCTGCCTGCGTGACTCCCTCCCCATAACCCAGACTAATAACCGTGATCTATACAATAGGCTAAAAGCTCTCCAAACAGTCCAAAGAGAAGTGTGGTCTCAACTTGAAGCAGCCTACAAGCCTGGCACCCCAGAGGCAGCCTACCCTTTCCAAGTTGGAGACTTCTTGTTTGTAAGATGGCACCGAGCGCAAACCCTCGAGCCACGGTGGAAAGACCCTATTTAGTGTTGCTGACCACCCCAACAGCGGTCAAGGTTGGCGGGATCGCCACCTGGATCCACACCTCCCATGTGAAACCTGTTGTCTCAGCTGAGACAGCTGATGACCATCTCACATGGAGGGCCCAATCTGCTGAGAACCCTCTCCGGCTTAAAATCACCAGAAAACACCAGTGACCAGGTGCACGTCCGGAGACACCAACGCCGCCTAGCTGACCCACGCACCATTTTCAAAAACTCTGTTCCGAAATGACAATGTCAGCCGGACAAAGACAATCCTCAAAAGCTAAGACTGTGCCGTTCACACCTATCCCACTAATATTACTTATAGTATGCCTTTCCCCTGTTACACCCAGCGACCCTAACCCCCATACCCTCTATCGGCTCACCTGGGAAATAGAGAACTGGGAAACACATGAAGTATACAACAGCACTTCCCACACAACCCCCTTAGGCACATGGTTCCCTGACCTGTACTTTAACCTAGACAGAATAGCAGACATAGAAGGAATGGGAGGGGAAGACTGGCGAAAAAAACAGCGCCAAGTCTCCGTGAGTCGAAATGGGTTTTATGCGTGCCCTGGGTTTCGAACGGGGCCAGAGAGGCGGCAGTGCAGAGGGGTTGAGTCCCTTTACTGTGCACAATGGAGTTGTGTTACCACCAATGACGGAGAGTGGAAGTGGCAGGTAACTCCCCAGCTCATCACTTTCTCGTTTATTAAACCATGCACCCGAACTAGGTACAATCAAGACTGTAATCTGCTCAGGCTCCAGTTCACAGAACAGGGAAAAAAGGATACCCGATGGCAGTCAGGGTTAACATGGGGCCTATATCTCTATCAGAGCCCCCTTTTTGGAAGCCTTATCCGGGTCAAATTAAAAGTTGAGCCAATGGTCACGACGGCCTTAGGTCCAAATAAATTGTTGAATCCTAGAGCACCCGAAGCCCCTGGACAGCCCCTCAAGACAACACAGCCCCCTAAGTCCCTCACCCAGAGCCTATTGAGCCCAACTTAGACACTGGCCCCCACTATAGAAAGCCAGCAATCCCGGCTCCTTAGTTTAATCAGAGGCACTTTCCAAGTTATAAACAATTCCCGTCCCAAGCTAACTCACTCCTGCTGGTTATGCTATGATGTTGCCCCCCCTTACTATGAAGGTATAGCATTTGTTAATGCTGTCAACCAGTCTTCTGACCCCTCCCAGTGTAGATGGCAGCAAAAAGGACCAAGACTCACTTTATCCTCTGTAAGTGGACAAGGAACCTGCATTGGGAAAGTCCCTAAAACTTACACCTCCCTCTGCAACAGGACAGAAGTAATAAGCACAACCCCAACTTATTATATTCCCCCATCTAACAGGTGGTGGGCCTGCCAAACCGGAGTCACTCCATGTGTTCATTCCCAGAAGTTAGACGAAACTTCTGACTTTTGTGTTTTAGTACAGTTAATACTCCGCCTCATTTACCATTCCTATGACAAGGTCCTGTCCTAACTAGGCCGGTCTCCGCCTCGAGTCAAACGAGAACCTGTGAGTCTGACTCTCTTCCTCTTACTAGGCCTCGGCCTAGGGGCAGCAGGGGTAGCCACAGGGGCATCCTCACTAGTTCTCCAAAACCAGCATTACCACAGTCTCAGAGAAGCCATAGATGCAGACTTAGAAGAGATAGTAAAATCCATATCCACCCTGCAAGACTCTTTAACTTCCTTGTCAGAGGTAGTCCTACAAAATAGAAGAGGTTTAGACACGTTGTTCCTCCAGCAAGGTGGACTGTGCGCTGCCCTTAAAGAAGAATGTTGTTTCTATGTAGACCATTCAGGAGTAGTAAAAGATTCCATGGCCAAAGTTAGGGAAGGGTTAACAAAGAGAAAGAAAGAAAGAGAGCAAAACCAAGGGTAGTTTGAGTCCTGGTTCAACTCACCATGGTTCACTACCCTCATCTCTACTCTAGTAGGGCCACTGATAATCTTAATATTAATTCTAACCTTTGGCCCCTGCATCCTAAACCACCTAGTTACTTTTATCAAAGAGCGTATTAACACCATGCAAATCATGATGTTAAGACAGAACTATCAGAGTATTAACCAAAAAAGATGACCTCTAGTTTCATGATTGAAATAGATACCAGAAGAAGAGGGGAATGTAAGAATGGGAATGGGTTAGCATAAGAATAGCCATCATAAGGGCCGAGAAGCCATTTTCTGAGTGTGTGACTCGGGGAAAGAGGAACTGGGTAAAGCATGAAAAACAAGTTAATCATGGACACCGGGTTGTGGGCAGCTGTGACCCTTGGTCAGCTAATCATGCATACCAAGTTGTGGGTGGTTGCGACTCTGGTCAGCTTATCTTGCTGAACCACCCTAACAATTGAGGAGTGGTCTTATCTTGCTCTTGCTTAACCCCCAGGATGTGTGACTTGCAAAAATAATGCGTAGCTGCGGAAAATTACTATGAGTCAAGTGCTTTGAAAATGCTATATAAACCCTTGGCTTTGAGTGCTCGGGGTCCTCATTGAAACTCGCTGTGTCGGGCAGACACTTCTACCCCAGCTATCTGGCATAAGAAACCTCTTGCTTGTTGCATCGATCTACTGTGGCCCTCATTTTTTTCACTGGGGGGAAGCGCAGACTGGAATAAGGCCGGTAGGTCTTACAAAATTAGTAGAACCAATCATAGAATTCAGAAGGCCTTAGCATCTGGTCCAAGTGATCATAATCTGGAGGCGTTCTTGAATAGGTTTTGGAGGCTTTGAATCTCCTGAAATTAGATGCAAAATTATGTATGTACATTTTTGGAAGTCAGCATTGTGAGAAACACACTCACTGGTGGACACAGAGACAAAGAGAACAGCGGAGCGAGGCTTTAGTGACGGTCTTGCAAGATCGGGTATCTGGTGGGCAGGCACACCTGGGGAGTTTGGCGCCAATAATTTATCTCCTAGTGCACGAGTCCCTCCCCTGGTTCCTCATTGGCTGAGTACTACAGGGTTCACAGTCTTCCCCAGACGTAGCCTAAGCCCGTTATATCTTTCCTTTACATTTGTCTTATTATTGGTAGGTCAGAAAAAAACTCAAACAGGTATAGCCAGGCCCTTATCAATTCCCCCACCCCCACTCTCAGCCCGAGCAGCTTCCACCACATGGCCCTTTGTTAATACCTTACTGTTAAAATGTTTAAACATCCTAGTGGGAATAAATCACATTTAGGTTTTATACTCTTTTTCTAACAAGCATGGATAGAATTTTATCACATGCCCCTAAGGTTAAAATGCTCTAATCCGGTCTGAGGTGGTAAATATGAACTAGGTCCAGAAAAGTAACTGAAAATAACACAGCCAAGTAACAGTAGACCCCAGTGCCCCTGCTGCTTCTTACATTTCCTGGGGCTTGAACATTCTCTTGAACAGAGAAGAAGAAAGAAGCAGTTTTTCACCATCTAAAACAGAGAATACAAAATTCTATACCTGTTCTACTGGGTTCAAACTGAGCATACTTCCTACAAAACCTCCTGTTCTCATTCCAAACAGGATGTAAAAAAACATTACTCTCATTCTTGCGCAAATTGCAGTTGCCAAGAAACAACCAGCTAGTAAAGAGTTCATTAACACTAAAGCACGGTAGGATTTTTTTCTTCTAGCTTTACTTTTAAATTATTGATTAAAAAGCTTTTACACTTGCACCATGCATTGATTTATTCATTCATTCAACAAATATTTATTGATTGCCTAGCTTTGGTTTGCTAAAGGAAAGACAGCCAATTTTTCTTTTGCAGGCAGGGGGTGGAAGTGATGGTGAATGTTGCCGGGTAGCTGTGTCTGCAGAGGTCTCTCCTACACACTAGGCAAAACCTCAACCTGGACGGGGGCAAGTTCTTGACCCTGATCAGGAAAGAATTCGTGATCAGGTAGAACAAGTGCTAGCAAGAAAGGAGCTCATTAAAACAAGAGTAGAAGCGGATGTCAACAGCCTGCAGGCAGTAGAGAGCCAGGAAGAACAGGGAGGACAGGGAAGGTCAGACTCTTCGGGGTCGGGCAGTTCCCTTGCCAAATCCTGAAGCCAGGGTCACCTCGTGTCCAGTATCTGCTTGATCTGCCCAGTGAGGGAATTGTATCCCTACCACCCCAGGACTTGGCGGAGCCACAGAGCGCTAGAGGGAATGAGATTATGTTCTGGAAACTTCCACTTTCCTACTGGTCCTACATACAACAGAAAAGAATTTTGTTAAGACTAGCAAGCTGAATGAAATAGAGAAGTGAGAAAGACAGTTAACCACCAGAAGTGGAGCCTGGAGAGTTCTTGTCTATCATGAAAAAGAGTTCAGAGATAAGTGCAATAGGCTTATGCAATAAGAAAGTTTATTTGGTAAGATGGTACACATTCCAACTGGAGTGTGGGTGCCCTCAGAGAGGAGGCACAGTTAAGGGTGTGGGGTCTTACAGGGCCTTTTGGGTAGGGGTCAGCATAAGGCATAATGTATACAGGTGAGTAATAATTCCTTTGAAGTTTTCTCAAAGAATAAGGTTATTTAGGTGACTGTGTTGAACCAGATCTCTGCATTCTTTACCCATGTAGGCTCATTTACACTCTGGAGGTCTGTTTCTTGTCCTGGTTTCAGAGTTGCTTAATTGATTAGGTGGCTGGAAAAAGAGGAAAAACAGCATATAGATTAGGTTAAAGAGTAAGCTGGGCCATTTTCTCAAGTTGAGTAGATATTATGATGGCATGAACCTTTTTCCATATCCCTGCTCTGTCCCAGTAAGGTGGGGTTGTAGCTAAAAGCAGGCTACAGTAGAGGAAAATCAGCCCTGTGAGAAATCTAAGTCTAACATTCCTGCTCAGTTACCCTCCTTTCTCAGTGTGGAAATAGCAAGTCTTAACTTTTAGGACCGTAGAGGCCACGTGTGCTTGTATCCCCAGAGGACTTTGGCCTCTTTTGCACAGAGAGCTAAGGGAAGCTGAGAGAGTGGCCTCCTTCCCCTGGACACTGGCCAGTAGTCGGCCCTGTTATAAATTTTCCTCACCTGCTTCATGGGAATAAGCCAGGTGAAGTAAAAGAAGTTTGCATTTGGGGCTGTTAGACAGCAAGACAGTACTTGTGAACCTACCTTGTCAACAAAGGTGCTGACTGCCCGTCTTTATCTCTGGAGCCATGCTCACAGGCTCTGTACCTCGGCCCCTGCCATCTTCCCAACAGGTCTCTTCATGCACCACTGGCCTCTCCCTCAGTCTCCTTACCATTTTATTATCAATGCCCAACTACCGCTTTCCAACTACAGCTTTATCTGTCATTCATTCATAGTCAAAATTCTGATTTTCTTTTCACAAATTCTAACATAAGAAAAGGAACCAAAAAAACTGATTTAAGTTTTTACAAAAAGAGAATCCTTAACTGATAGGTTTTATTTGATGTCTACGCTGCTATACTATTTAGGAATTGCATTTAATGTAGTATAGTAACAACAAAGGCTTAAACAAGACATTTATGTCTTAAGTAAAAGAAACCTGGAGGAAGGCCAGTCTAGCACTGGTACAGGGTCTACAATCATCAAGGACCCAGAACCTTCTCTTTCAGATCCTATATTCTTGTGCATGACTTCCTCCTTGATGTCACTTCATAGGCCAAAAATAGGTACAGAGTTGTGGCTCCAGCCATAACATCTTAGCTCTATGTCTGGGGAAAGGATAGAGGATAAAAGGCCTTCCAGCTAAGCAACTCCCTTTGCTTATCCAGGTTTCCTCAATCCCCTTATCGTTGTTCTAGTTACATTTTTATTAGCCAGACTTGGACTACATCTACCTGCAAGGGGAGAGCTAGGAAATGTCTTTTAGAGACAGGTCTCTTTATCTATTGCTGCCTGTAAATAAAATCAGGTTCTGCTATTAAGGAAGAAAAGGAAACTGAGTATGGGTGGCACCTCAGATGTGTGCCATAATGCTAACAGATAGTATCTCCCTTAAAGCCTGGGGAAATCCTGCTAGCATACAGCTCTGCTCCATCACCCTACTAGGAATTCATTAAATAATGGGTGAATGATTGAATGATTTGAACTCATGATTATCATTTTCCACCTTACAGGTAAATACAGAATACATTAAGCACTTGAATAGTGGAATAGTTAGTTATTAACAAGCTACAGGGAAATGGCCAAACCCAAATGCCCCTATTTAGACTCAAAAGTTATCTTCTTCAACTTTGAGACTTTGTGTAGTGCATGGGAGCTAGCTGGCTAGGAAGGCCGAATCTGAGGCTTCATTCCAAATCTATTTAATCAGAACCTACATTTTAAACAATATACCAAGGTAATTAATATGCACGTTGAAATTTGGGAAGCTTTAAAAAAAAATACTGAACCACCGGAATGCTTTAAGTTTTTTCTGAACCCGCATTAAGGGTGTGTGTGTGTGAGTGGTACCACTTCTCATCATCTGGTTGGGATAATGATTTCAACCTGCAAGGGATATTTAGAAAATCCACTAGATGCTGGTTCCAATAGTTAGAAGATAATTGAACTGAGGAGGGAAATAACAATTTGTGGTATTTGTCTCAAGGTTTTAGTTATTAAAGGGGACTCTCCATCTGCTGTCATAGGGGAGAGACTTCTGTGTGCTTCTAAGTCACCCAACACACATACTCCCGGCCTCCTGGATTCAGGCAGGCTTCCCCAGGCCTGACATTTGAGGGAGGGACTGGCATCTTGGGGCCAGAGAGATAGTTTGCAGTTTCCCAAGGTGACTCCAGTACCCCTGCCCCCACCCACACCTTTATCCTAATTTCATTAAAGTCCAGCAATTATTTGCCTCGCAGGATCTGCCACTAAATCTACAGTCTGTGAGGTAGTTGTGAGCAGCATTTGTCAGGTTGAGCAGCTTTTGCCCAACAAGCTTTCATTTTTGATGCAGGAGTAAAAACTGGATTCCTGGTCTCATTCTGTAAAGTTTCTGGATAAATGGCTAGACAGGAGAGTTTTGATGTATTTCAACAAAATAATTATTACTGGTACTGGCAAAGGTAAGCTGCCTTTTCCTACTCTGAAAATGAAGGCTGTTAGTATTCCATTTCTGACATGACTTTTGGCAATATACAAACTTTGGCTTTGAAAATAAGGCAGAAATCATCTTTACTTGACACTTCTGGGGGAGAAGAGCCCTGGTGTTTTGAATGATTCTGCCTTGGTTGGCCATGTCATTCCTGTCCTGTCCCCTCTGCTATTAGAGTGAAGCCCCACCGGGTTACCCTCTTGGCAAATGATATGCACAACAGAGTGGCTGCTCTGCTCTTTCTGGCTATGACATTGGCCGTGCGGTGGATGGAAACGGACACAACCTCCTCTCTGCACGTGAGACCTCTGGACACCCAGCTGAAGCTTCGCTGATACCTGAGGTACCCCTCACTGCAGTGAATCCTGTGTCCCTGGGGGGTCCCAATGTGAAAACATCACTTTCCTATCTCACACCCCAGATCCTCTCATTCAAATTCTCACAGCTGTGGCATTTGCTCCCTACTTTAATACCAGAGTAAAAGCTGATGTCCTAAGTAATTTTGGCTTGTAGCAACTTAAGTCCTCACTGTCTTCCAAAAACAAAACAATAGGCTGATGAAGTCTATACCTAAATTCTTCTAAATTGTAGATCATCATTCAATAGATTTTAAACAGTTAAAAATAGAACAGATTTTGTTTTGCTATAGCAGAAAACATTAACACACTTTAAAAAGATGTTTTAATGTATTTTGATTACTAACCTTTTTCTGAAACCACACAAAAATGTATTGGAGTAAGGGAAAGCCTTCCCCAGCCCCTCTCCACTTAGAAGAAAGCCCTCAAGTGGGTCTGTGGCTATAGATTTTACCCTGTATTCTTGCTAAATCAGTGTGATTGTGCTTTATTTCCATCTGGGGGTGTTGGGGGCAACCTGGACAAGAATGGACTCTGTGATGTACACTGGCTCACCCTGAGTGCTTTTACTTATAGGTTCTTCGGTAGTGTTCCTCAGAAACTCCCCCTTACAAAGAGCTTCCTTTAAAAGCCGCCCTTTTGGATGTGCTGCAGTATTAGCTCATCTCTTAACGAGTGACATTTTGAATGTTCTCAGTCCCTATCTTAAAGCACTTGTGTGAATGTTTTTTGGCTAAGAATAAATTTCTGGAAGTGGAAGGCCTGTGTTAAAGGATATAGCATTTCAATTTTTAAACAGCAAATCACCCACCAAAAAGCATGCCCAAGTTTGCAATCTGTGTTGCTGTTCGCGTCTCCACATTTTTCTGTGTGTGATTAGCCAGTCTGACGGGTGGGAAAGGTATTGTCTATTACTGGGGGCAAATACCTTTTAAAATGTTTGTTGGCATTGCCCTTGTGTGACTTCATTGATGTCCTCACCTGTTCCCTGTTAGGCTAATCTCCTTTTCTCTGCCTCCCTAAGATATTTATATATTAGGGAAATTAGTGCTTTGCAAAGGGTTAGAGTTTTTTTCCCCATTTGTTTCCTAAAAAAATGTGCACAGCAAACTCTCCTTGTGTGGTGGCATTTGTCTCAATACCAGAGTTTGATTTAATATCTAAACCCTCTATCTTTAAAACTTCCATTTGCTTGGTACTTTTTTTGCCCAAACTTTCATATTTAATTTTTCAGGTCTGTTTTAGGTGGGCTTCTTACATAAAATGTCTTGTTAGATTTCTTGGCTTTACTTTTGGAACCCAACTTGGGTTTTATCTTTTTAGCAGATTGGACATTGCATCAATTAAAAACTATATCTTGCTACATTGCCTAAGGTTTAATTTTTTTTCTTTTTCTTTTTTTCTCTTTTGGGAGAAACCTGTGTCTTTTATATATCTTTAAATAGAGAAGTATAGGATTGAGTGTATTACCAACTTAAAAAATGAAGTATCTCTTGACTTCTTCCTACTTATGGGTAAACTTAAGAAATTAACACCTTACAAAGAAAACAGACTGCCTTGCCTGAAGGTTTCAACCGTGGGCAAGTTCACTATGGATTCAGTGAGACCAAGAAATGACAATGGAATGCTCTGGGGGTAAAAAGGTTTATACCCGTCTTTATTCTCCCAGCGGTAGGTAGGTTGAGCACTAGAATCACATCTGCATCCAGCAGTCTGCAGGTCCATGATCCACCTTCATCCAGAACACTGGGCAGAGCTTTTTATGTAGTGATTCAGTAAAAATAGCTTAATTGCCTAAGAGTGTGGAAGTATTAGCCTAGCAGTAGGCCAATTACATCATTAAGTAGTTTAGGGACAGGTGAGGATTCTGGCTATAGGAACTTCATTTTCCCCACAAGGACAGTAAGAAACACAAGAAAAAAAATCAGTAAATAATTTATTTTTTAATACTATTTTTTCTCTCTCCCTTGCACCCCATCACTTCTTTCTTCTTCCCATTTTTATTGGTACATTCTAGGATTTTTATCCCACTCTCCAATCAAATTATTACTATAACATGCAGTTTTTCATTCAAGAATTATAAAGACATTCTCTTTGGCAGCTATGGTGCCCATACTTGTACCACCTGCCTGCTCTCCTGGTAGGAGTTCCCAGCTATGAAGCTGGTCAGCCAAATTCCTGACAGCAGTCTCTTTCATTCACTGAAGTCCTCACTTTAGTGTTCCCGAATAAAGTGTGTGCTCTATGAGATGTCATAGCTTCCTGGCCCACTTCCCCCACTATGCACGCTGTGTCCATAGCCCTTATCTCCCTGTGGATAAAATAAAAGTTCCTGTGGCCAGGATTCTCACCTGGCCCTGGTTGGCTAGCCCACTACACACGTGTGGGCAATATGTTGCTATTGGCTCTATAAAGAGCTGCTCCCAGTGCTCTGGGTGACACAGTGACACGGCTGCAAGGCTGCAGGAGAGCAGAGCATAGGCCGGAGTGGTGGCAGGGCTGATGACAGAGGCCCAGAGGCAGAGACCTGCTTACTGCACGGAGACTCACTCTGAGTGGATGGGATTTTAGTGACTGACCTACCACCTGGAAATAAAGTTAGGTATAACCCTTTCACCCCAAGAATGTTCTACTGTCATTTCTTTGGTCACACTGAATCCATAGTGAACTTGCCCGGGGCTGAAACCCATTGGTCAGACACTCCCCTAGCTAAGGGGGTCACCTCCTGAGAGCCTCTTTTGACATCATGTCTTGCTTAAAATTAGAGAAAGTGGATGTCTTCAGAAATGACTGTTGAGTCTTTGGGATCCATCAGCAGAACTTTCCTAAACTACCTTTAGCAGAGGAAACCAGTTTACAAGTGGGCCCCTTTTAAGGACAACTGGTAGCATACACTGCCCAGGGGGACCTCAGACCAGAGAGCATGCTCTCTCCATATGGCTTCTGCTCCCTGTGCCCTGGTCTCTTGGGATCCGCATTTCTGAGAGCACACATTGAAAGGAAGAAACGTGAGGGTACTTGGAAATTGTATTGTAAGAAAGTCCTCATCTAAGCACAGATTGTGGCTGTCTTAATCATTTCTAAATAGAAAAAAATACACTGATTGTGTGATTAATTTTATGGTAACCATATAAGTTATTTTCCAAACCAGAACATAATTTAGAGTGAAAGGGATAAATTTCAGATAAATTGCAAAGAAGAGATTATGGGTCTTTGGCTTTCAGTATAATCTCATTCTTATTAGCAAGGGAGAAATAATTAAGTTCATTTGTGCCAGGAGCTAACTTAACTCTCCTTGGTTGGGGTGGTTCCTTGGAACAGCTGCACATCCTTAGCAAAGATATGTCCCCAACAGGTGCCAGGAGAGAGAGGTCAAAACTTAAAGTGCCCAAGTAGGGTCAACAAGGTCTGGGTTAACCAAGATTTGTTTTGGGAGTGCTTCTGGAATTTACTTCTCTCCTTATATAAGAAGATGATTGATTTACTTATGTGCCCTCTGCATTTTCCTTAGGTGCCACTGTCCTGGTGCTTAGCTGAGCCATGCAGTTGGGGATGGGATTAGAAGGGTACAAGGAACATGTGCTCATGGAAACTTTGCAAATTGGTATCTGAAAGTGCAATATAATGAGTTATAAGAAACATATATACGCTTGGTCATACAGTTGACCAGAGTATATTTCTCAGATGTATTTGGTCTTCATCCACAGTTCTTGAAAACACTTCAGAACCCGTGAAGATCAAACAGGTGTCTTGTTATATTAATGGCAGTCTATTTGACCCCATTCAAGAGCAGGGGCTAGTTGCCAGGGCACCAGCCCTGTGATTAGAGGATAGGAACTGTCTACCCAGCCCCCAACCCCTGCGTGGGGAGAGGGCAGAAGGGCCAGAGGTTAAATCAGCCAATGGCCAGTGACTCAGTCAATCATGACTATGCAGTAAAGCCCACACAAAAATCCATGAGCATTTTGAGTTCTCTCTCTGAACCCTGCTTCCCTGTCAGAGAGCTTCCATGTTTGGGGAACCAGAACGCTTCCTCACAAGGATAGAAGCCCCTTTATTTGGGTCTTTGCCCTGTGTAGCTCTTCACTTAGCTATTAACTTGTATCCTTTATTAAACTAAAAGTTATTGTTTTCCTGAGTTTTGTGAGCCACTCTAGCAAATTAATCCAATCTAAGGACCTCCAATCTGCAGCCTACTGGTCAGAGACATAAGTAACAGCCTGGGGCAGGCCACTGGTGTCTGGAATGGGGGGTGGAGGGCTGTCTTGTAGGGTGGAGCCCTTAACATAGGGAATCTGGTGCTGCCTCCAGGCAGATAATGTCAGAATCGAGTTGAGTTCTTTGGACCCTCTCCTGTTGTTCAACAGTTGCTTGGTGTTGTGTGTGGGAAAAGCCCCTCACACATACACACATTGGAATTGGGTCCAGGAACCTGAAAGGAAAAAGAAAGCACAGAGCTCCAGGTAGAGAGTTAGGCATCTAGTGCAGGGACTGTGGAGTCTGGGTCCAGGGCTGCAGGTGTCTGGTTCATGGCCCAGGCCCTAGACTGCCAGTTAGTTCCCAGAAGCTTCAGAGAGGCCAGAAGCCTTTGCTGGGCATGCTCCTCCTCTGTGAATTTTCTTCTGTTGACTCAGTTGCCCCATTTCATAACTGTAGTATCATCTCATTTAAAGATTCTTCTAATTTTAATAAAAATAAATTTGATCTGAAGGGAATTCAGTGTTGGGTTGTTATTTTGGAGAGCATTTTCCAAGAAAAGGTATGTTGATAGCAAACCTTTAAGTAAAATTACTTTTTCTTAACATACTGATTTTCAATGTAGGTGACCACAGTTCTGGCTGAAAACCAAGATGAAAATCCACTAGAAGGTACTTATTTTACTTCTGAGTTTATGTTGAATGATATCTGTTTTTGCTGGAGAAGGTCTAGATTAATAGTACTGGGGATAATTAATACATGACAGTAAAAAATAATTTCAGAGGGAAAAGTTCAGGCATAAATGCTAGCAATGATATATAAACATGATAAATTTGGAAAAAATGCTTCAGTGAAACCTAAAGTAGGTTATAATGAAAACTGTGATGACTTCTGTAATAAGTAAATAAAATTTTTACTTTGAGAATTTTTAAAATCATAAACAGATGATAAGGTTTTTGTTAAATGCTTTTGTTTGCATATACTGAAATGATCATACATCTTTTTTCTTTTATTCTGTGAATTACATCAATTGCTATTTGAATATTATACCAACAGTCTCCCTGAATACATTCCACTTGGTCATCAGGTATTATTATTATTTTTTAAATATACAACTGGGATCACAGGAAGATGGTGGTGTGAGTAGTTCAGAGGGAATCTCCTCCCCAAAACATATATATTTATGAAAATACAATAAATACTACTATTCCTAAAAGAGACACCAGTGGATGCAGTACAACAGCCAGGATACATCTATATCTGTGAGAACTCAACATCACATGAAGGGGGTAAGATACAAGCCACAGCCGGGCAGGATCCAAACACTCCCCCACCCCAAAACCCGGTTTGTGTGTGGGAAAAGCCCCTCACACATACACACGTTGGAATTGGGTTGGGAAGAAAGGAGTTGGAATGGGGAGGGAGTGAAAGTCCAGGACTGCTAAACAACCAGCTCTAGAAATCCACACCCGGAACGCAAATACAAGGTGCACGGGGTGCTGGATATTAGAGAAATGGAAAAGCAAAACCTATGGGCAGGTCCCCGCAACTGGCACCCCTGAGACAAAAGAAAAGGGAGTGCTTTCTGCAATTCTTAAAGAGACAGGGACCCCATAGCTAGATGAAGTTGTCCCAGCAGCTAGGAATACCGGGGAAACTTAGGCTCCCTAAACCCCGGAGAGGCAGTGAAGCTCGGAAGACCGTCATGGCACTAAGCAGCCTGTCAGTCGTTCCTCCAACTGGCGCGGACCCCAATACACCAGCCCAGTAGCAGGAGAGTGACAGTGCATGCCAGGGACGGCAGTGCCATAAGGGACCAGGAGCAGATCCGTGCGCTGCAGGAGAGGCTTGTGCTAGCCCGCAGCAGCATGACCGAACAGCCCAGACACAGCTCTTGCACACCGGCAGCAGTGAAGCCAGAGAAGCCCGGTAGAGGCCTGTGGGGAAGAGCCCTGTGTGCACCTGCAGTGCAGCCAGAGGGAGCAGGTGTGCTCCCAGCGGCCGAACGGAATCCCAGCCCAACACACAGCTACCCAGGCCAGACCCAAAGGCCAATGCTACCACACAGCTGCCCGGCAGTGGTGCTGCTAGCACGGAGGAGTGCACCTGGCATGCCTGCCACTCCACACAGAGCTCCATGCTGCTCTGACGGAGATCCCACACACAGCAGCTTAGGGGACTAACCCAGTGACTGCTCCAGGAGTGCAGGTAACCATCACAGGCAGCGGAGAAGGGCAAGGCATCCAGAAAGCAGGAAAGGACTTTCTTCTCCCAGCTGACACACCCACAACCTGCCTACAGCCACTGCT